TGTACATGTAAATCAGGCTTCAAGCCAATCCCTGTCTCGAGCTTTAGAGCTAAAGGCGTTATGAGATCACAACTGGGGTCACGCGCGGCGCCGTTGCTGTCCGCCGCAGCCGCCGGTGTCCGAAAAGACATCGTACATAAAAATAAACCTAATACCAATGACACAGCGGTGCTCGAACCCGGATCCGCTGGGTGCCATCCCAGTATTCTACCACTGCGCTACGCAGGCGCTTGGAATTTTTTGGGCAAACTTGCCTTTACGGGCTGTTGCAAATATAGGTTACAGAGAACACACATCCCATTTATTTGTCAAGTTTAAAGTTTTAAAATTTTGTGTTGCATATGAACATAACTTGTTGTTGTCTTTGAGGCCTGAAATTCGAAAGAATTGCGCAAACCTGAGAGGCTTAGCACATTTACAGCCGAAAATTTTGTTGCGTCCGATGCGGAGTTCTGAACACTGGCACATCCCCCGACCGCGAACAAATTACGGACTCCAAATGCTAAAGCACTCTGTTCCCCATATACTAAATAAGTTCAAGCTCACAGAATAACAATTGCGTCTCCTTTTAAGTAGTGATATATTAAACCTGTTTGTATAAGGAGCTATAAACCCAGAAAAATTGCACCCAGTACTTGTAAATGCATGAAATTTTAAGTGTACCCCTTTCTGTTATAGCGTCTTATTTTGGTTGCCTTTTTTTCCCCAATAATTGTTTGTTTGTAAACACCCAAGTGTGCATCTATTCTGTACTTCTTAAACAACCACTAGAATGTTATTTTCTTTTCTTTTTTCTTTCAATCATACGTGAGCACCGTATGGAGTTTGGTGTGCCATTGTTTCTGTTGCCTTGTACAAATGGAAGGTGGGGCTAGTCAAGCTGCTATAGCGCAGCTTTTTTCCTACTTTCCATGCCACAATTGTTTCTTGTTTGTGTAAATCACGGTGTATTGTAGTGGTGAAATAAACTTCAACTTCAACTTCAACTTCAACTTCAACTTAGCCAGGCGTGATGTCGGGAGAGCAGTCGCGTTAAACCGACTTATAAAGCGTTTTAAAACAGCGAAAGAACACCCATGGCAGTCGTCGCACAGTGCGACTAGCATACCGAGTGGCTCGTTCAATGCTCCAACCCATTACAGAAGCTCGTTCTTGTTCACCCATTGACTGTGGTGCATGCTCATTTCAGGCGTAATTCCTCATCGTCGTCAGCCCCTGCATAAATAATTACAAATTCCTTGCAAGTGTTTAGCGGATACCTCGCTTCTCAAAATAATGACAAAAAATAGAATAGCGAACGCCGACTCAAAATTATTTACTATTAATACGATAGTGGGTATCAAGCAAGTGTGCTTGCATCAGTTATCCAACGAGTGTTTGGACTGGGGCTCTGAAAGGCCGCTGTTCTAGCTTTCGCTGTTACTGTGCTGCGCCTTCCGCGCAGGCCTGGCGTTTTGGGTTTTCGGGCCTTTGCCATGCTGCAGGCCGCAGATTTTAGCCTTGAAATCCTTTCCTAATGTATTTGTAAAAGTAAAGCATTTGAATTTGGTAAGGTTCTGGGCCGGCAGCCGCCCAGAACACCTCAGTGACAACACCAAAGATCGCTGAGCTCGAGCCGCCACTAAACCACCACCGTTCGATGTCCATCGTTCTTCTCTTCGTTTGGTTAGCCCACTCGCTGCTGGCATTGTTATAAGACTTGTGAAAGATGATCGTAATGGTTTGATCAGAATATTTAAAACGGCCTCTGTTTATGCGTTTTTAGCGATAACAATTCGAGTGTTTGAGTGGTGAGGTATTAAAACATTTCTGGCGTTCTTTGAGCCATAACATCGATATGATTCGGGGAACTCGGGAACAATTTTGATACCCTGGAGATTGCGCAACGTGCCAGTAAATCGAAGTTGCCACGGATGTTCTTGCGTTTTCCCCGTATAAATTCACACCGTGACCGTGAATCGAACCCAGGTCCTCGAGCTTGTAGCAGCGTAACACTACTGATGCTAAGACACCATGATGTGTGGTTGCGGGTTAGATATGTGCTTGACGCGAGGCCAATTAGGCTTGATGCCCAAGACCGACGCGTTCAGTAGAAGGAATGGTCACTTATTCCCACGAAATTATTCTTCTGTTTTATAATCTATCACATTTATTTTTGTTTTAATTCATAGCACCGCCAATAATTTCCCCTGAGTGATACTTGATAAGACAGATGCTTGGGCTAGTTGGTGATTGGGAATCAGCATATTTGCACAGGGCAAGACTACGAGTAGTTACTAGTTAACTACAGAAGAGACAAGGACAGAAAGAGCGCTCTTTTTGTCCTTGTCTCTGTTGTAGTTACGCCGTAACTACTCGCAGTCTTGCGCTATGCAAATTAGTTGATTCCCTGAGTGATACAGGCCCACGTGTTCGGTTTCCTGAAACCAACCGAAGAGCGGCCGTTGATTTGAAAGGGTTTTCAAATGAACAGTGCGCACGAAGTTGCTATAGTTCGTAATAATAAAAGAAGCAATAGAAACCTCGTCGCCAAGCGATGTCGTTAGTAAATCACGTGGTGTGTTCCAGTTTAAAGTGCAGATCACTTTAGGAGCTCGGGCTGTCATACGCTGTCTTCGTATGCTGTAGTAACGAATGCACAATCATGAACAGCACAGCCATCTGCAGCATATTGAGCGTGCTCTCGCCCCAAGGAGACGTTTTGTTCCGCTTGTTCATCAAGCACCTTGATGATGATGATGATTATAAGCGCAGAGAACTATAGGGGCCCTAGCTGTGGAATGCTGTCGTCGCTTGGCGTATATAACGCGAGCAAAACCTTGTATAAAAATAGGAAAAGGAAGAGGAAGCAACCGAAAAAATACGCCGTAAACCAATTTGCACCTTTAAGGGTGCTGTTTCGTGTCTACACACTACAAGAGTGTCTTGGTTTCTCAAAACACCCTTATCGTAGGGTGTTAGTAGTAAACACGAAAAAGCACCCTAAAGGGTGCAAACTCGTTTACGGTGAACAAAGAGAGAAATGGAAAACAGGGAAGAGAAATAGAGAGAGCAGATTGAATGTCATAGAAATAATTAAAGATAGAGGTAGAGATAAATTAATAAAAAAGAAAAAAATACAAGAGAAACAAATGTAAAATCAAAGAGAGGAGAAAAGAAAGAGGAAGCCGAATATAAAGAAGGCTGCCCTGCACCGCGTTTCCTTCAGGCATAGCATCCCTGTGCGAAACTGGCTTTTTTTTATTAATACTCCATTTGAATGAGCAATTATGAGCTTGTATTCACAAAGGAATCTTACTCTGAAAATTGTTGCTAAGCAAAAAAAAAAAAAAGCAGCTAACCCTGATGTCGGACGTATTATTTGCCAACGGTGAAACTCACATACGAACAGAAAGCTTTGTGACTTCGGAGCTCAGACGCTGTCATATCCCATAGGTGCGCTAGTGATAGATGTCTCAAAGTCGAGCTTGTATCTGGAACCAGTCCACACACCATATATTTGTACGCATATCTTTAAGCAATAATTAGAAACGGGGTCGTTGAGACACAAACAATTTGAAAAAAAAATATAAAGTAAACTGTTTGGTGATAAACGTTAGAATCAAACGAATTAATAATTTACTAACAGAAATTCACTAATTGCCGTTAAAATTGATTACCTTAAGACAAGCTAGCAGCTCGTGCTATGTGACTGATGAGTTCGCAATCAAATCCTAACGAATACTGAGAGTTACACAAACGTCGAATTATTCCACCACTAATTCTGCAATGAAACACATAGGTGGTCCAGTCACTTCTATGCTTTAGAGAGCAAAAGGGCGTTTAGTTAAATATCCCACTTTAGGAAATATGCGCAGCCTTCAGACTTTGTTCAACGGAAAGATATCTTGCAAGCTTCCCAGTACAAGTTCTTAAATTTCATTATTTAACGCGAATTAGCTATTTCAAAAGTTAATTAGTGAATTTTAATGAAGCATGTACTTAATGCCTAATTTTACGTATGTGGACGTTTGCTGCACCCGGCAGTGCTAAGAATTTTTGCTATTTGCGTTTACTCTCATTGGACACATTTTTGTTTTCTAAATTACTCTCTGCAGCAACACCTCCAATTTAAGAATGATTTCAAGCCCCACCGCAGTGGTCTGTCTAGTACTCGGCTGCTGACTCGCATGTCGCGGGATCTAATCCCGGCTGTGGCGGTTGCATTTTCGATGGAGGAGGAAATGCTGTAGGCCCGTGTGCTCATATTTGGGTGCTCGTTAAAGAACTCCAGGTGGTCAAAATTTCTGGAGTTCTCCACTACGACGTCTCTCATCATCATATGGTGGTTTTGTTGACGTTAAACCCCAAATATCAATTAATCGATTAATCAATTGATCAATCAATCAATCAAGAATGATTTCAGTCTAATCTGCATTGAACCGAGCAAGTTTGAAATGACACTCGTCGAAAAATCTCACAAGCATTTCCGAATCTCGCCGAATTCAATGACTCTCGAGCTTTTCGAGAACGTTCAGAGCGAGAAGAACGCCTGAGTAAGAAAGATCGAAGTTAACTAAAGCTCGCTCTCCTGCATCAAAACCAAACTCTACTATCCCACGCAGGTTCGGCAGAGGTAGCGAACAGTTACAGACGCACAAGTAAACGCGCCCTCACACGAGAAACACACCGTACACACACGAAAGCACGCACGCACATGTGGTTTTCTCTCTTTCGGCAGGGCTCCGTCTCACGGCGGTCAGTACCGAACCGCGCAGCTGGTTCCGATTCGCCCCGAACGTGCAGTGAAAGTGAGCGTCCGGTGACGGCCGCGGCGGGGGCCGTTGTGGCGGCGGCGGCTGGTGCGGCGGCCGCGGAACAGGAGCGATACGCTGGGAGGAGAAGAGAAGCCGGCGCTCACCGCGAAGGAGGAGGAGGAGGAGGAGACCGCCCCGCTCCTCGCGTTTCCTCGCCCTCTCCGCGCATAAAAGCTGCTGGCTTCGTCTTGCCGGGCTGCATTCGGAGCGGGAACCCGCGTGTGTCGTCGAAACGCGCATCGCAACGCGACGCGACACACACACAAAACAAAAAAAGAGACAACTCAGCGGTGTGCCGCGCACCGATGTCGTCCGCTGCGCTAGCCCGTCGCCTGGTGCGTCAAGCCGCGGCCGGAGTGAGCCGGCGTGCGCGCTCCAGTGAGGCCGCTGGCTGCCCCTTCCATCGCGCGCTGGAGCAGACAGCGCACCGCTCCGTGGGAGCGGATCAGTGGAGCGGAAGAGCGGAACCGTCTCCCATGGTGACCGAGAAGACTTCGTCGGCGCGCAAGCCCTTCTCTTCGCTGCCCCGTCCCAAGGGGTTGCCCGTGCTGGGCACGACCCTCGACGTGCTCCGGGCCGGAGGCGCGCCCAAGATCCACGAGTACTGCGACCGGCGGCACCGCGAGCTCGGACCCATCTACCGCGAGACATTAGGTAGCGTGGACGCTGTCTTCGTGGCCGATAGTGCGCTCATTCAAAAGGTGTACACCAACGAAGGCAAGTTCCCCATGCACATGGTGCCCGATGCCTGGCTCATCTACAACGAAGTCAAAGGGATTCAACGTGGACTCTTCTTCATGTGAGTACAGTCTCATCCATGCTTCTTACGATCGTTGGTGCTGCGCGGCTCGTGCGTGCGCTCGCCGTACAGGGCAACAAGTGTCACCTGGGTGATTCGCGTCGTGGCGACTGTCTAGCTTGAATTTCCCGGCGTAGTCGACAGAGAACGCAACCTAACTTCACCGGCCTGATTGCTCGGCAACTTTTAACTTAGATTGATACATGTAGTTATTGGCACGTCCTTCTGGGAAGCCGTGCGATGTGTGTAGAATGACGCGTGAATCTTCTGCGTCTTTTGTCACCTGTTCGTGCGACGATCTTTCATGCTACGTTTTGACTGGAATGACGAATTCGGGTAGTTTGAACTTTTCCGGCACACCTGTATGCCATGCAGAAATTCCAGTGTGCTCTTGACATTTTTTTAAAGACTCTTCTTAGAAAAAACACAGATCCTTGTTCACGCGTACAATTTGAGGTGACCCCTTAATGTAATTACCTCTACAGCGCTTCAAAAGTGTGATTGATGGCTCTACTTTATTACGCTCTTTAAAAAAAAAAGCACTCTCGAAGTACTGCATTCATCTCGGTTATCTGTTTGTCTCTCGGAGATGCGTGCTTCAACTTTGCGGCAATCCCACTGGGACGACTGAAGAGCACTTGCGGCGAAGAGTGGCTGTTGACATTTGTGTATTGCTGGGCGTATTGTCATCATACAATGCCGCTTGACAGGAGCACGCCGGCTCTAAATGCCGAACAGCGTTTTTTTTTTCTTTACTGGTTTACTAACGGTTTGATCGTGTTATCGCCTGAGCCTTATTGCCCCTAACCACTGCGAACAATGCGAACGCGCGCAATCAGCCGATTGCGGCGCTTGACACAGCTCTCCGATATCTCGACCGAAGGAAGAGCGTACGTGACAGGTTCATTCATCCAAACTGCGCAACTCCCTCAACGCTTGAGTCTCAGTTCTGCGGATTCAGTTCTCTTTTGTAATTGCGCCATCACGCAGACAGCCTTCGGAATGTACTATCCGACTTTCGCATCCTGCACAGCCCGTAATACAAAAAAAAAAAAATTACCACAGGTTCTCTCCCCTTCGATAAGTCAACATCGGGCTGCTTTACATGTGGCACGCGCTAAATACATCATCCGGACGGCCGTTAGCATTCCTCACGATTAAAAGAACAGCTGCGCAGATATTCTCATTTGCTAGGTGACGTCGAGTTAACTCGCGCCTATTGTGGACCAAATAAAGTTGTGTCACTCACTCACGCGCACAACAAAAAGGTTGGATCGTTCTGAGGAACTTGAAATGTCATGCCATGTCTGAAACAACGTGCTAAATCCTCCTACCTCACGGTCAGATGTTCGCAGTAGTTTGTGGTATCTGAATGAATAGCTGATTCTTTTCAGAGGCAGACTCCAGATGTTGACGATTAACTGACCACGTTTAGCGTGAATTAGGGACTGTTGGCTTCACAGGCATAGCTTACGGGCACGTCGTGCTGCACCACTTGTAGAGGAGTCGCGGGAAATGTTTAGCGGGTGAGTCGAACTTTCGCGCTCGGGGGACAAGCTTGCAAGGGAAAAGGAGCGCTGCTGCGACTGCTTCGAAACGGTTGCAAAGTCGCATGTCGTTCAAATATCAGTGGGTCCTTGCGAAGCAGTGTTGCTACTGGAAAGCGTTACAGCAACGTAATTACCCGATGATTTCGCTATGTTTTCTTGCGTTTTCGGAGATGTGACAATCACAAACTTTGCCTTGTTTAGTATTCAGATCCGTCAACACTTTACGTATCTACATGTGTGCGTTTAAGAAGCTTGGCTGTGGACTCGTAAACTTCTTTCTGACACTCGCTCATGCACTTGGTCGAATCAAGCGCAATGAACAGGACAGCAAAAGGATAGACACACGGGACGAAGCGCTTCATCTTGTGTGTCCCTCCTTTTGTTGTCCCGTTCATCGCGCTTCAATTCGTCTATCCCAATTTGCGCGCCTTACAATACGAACAGAATTTTTTTTTGTCTTTACTCATTCGTGGATGTGGTCACGCGTAAACCAGTGCACCACTGACGCAACTATGAGTCAATTCGGGGTGGTTTGAAACTCCTTCGTAATTTGTCCATCTTGCACAAGTGCATATATACAAGCACACATGCAAACGCACGTATGAACATACATAGAGTGTGCGTGAGCTCCGCTTCGACAAAAAAAAAATTCTGGACCACGCCACTATGCAGCGCATGCATGATGATTGATTGATATGGGGGCTTAACGTCCCAAAACCACCATATGATTATAGTAGACGCTGTAGTGGAGGACTACGGAAAATTTGACTACCTGGGGTTCTTTAACGTGCGCCCAAATATCAGCAGACGGTCCTACAACATTTCCGCCTCCATCGGAAATGCAGCCGCCGCGGCCGGGATTCGATCCCGCAGCCTGCTGGTCAGCAGCCGAGTACCTTAGCCACTAACTAGACCATCGCGGTGGGGCAAGCGCAGGCATGTTATATATATATGCATAAAAGAAGAACCTGTAACGTGATGGCCGTTACGGAATCATGTCGCATGTGGCCGCATAGGAACGATGATGCGTGAGGTGCCGTTTTCACAAGCATGCGCTCAAGTCTTAGGAGACCATAAAAAAACTTAGGAACGTGAAGCAGGATGGGGCAGTACTTACCCAACAATGAATGAGCCATAACCGACAATATCCACGCACTGCCTTCACGCTTCTTTTTCGTCGTATGTATTGCTGAATTCTTTTTCCCTCTTAGCCAAAGTGTAAATGCAGTTGCGTCCTAGGATCACATCCAACGACAATAGGGAGGTTTAGAATAGCGCACCGCGAGCTCTTGCGGTGCGGTCGGTGCCACTGCGCATGCGTCGTACGCGAGCCGCCGTTCACGGCCCACCCGCAGCAAATCCGAAATAGCGGGTGGCGTGTGCGGCCCGCGAATGCTGGTGTCGAGGCTATGTGTAGTTCTCGTGCATTGGAGTTTTCGGGGCAGCTAAAGTCTCTAGATTGTTCCCTAGGAGGGGCAAACGTTATTCTAAAGCTCATATGGGGCCCGCAACGTCCGCAGCACCTGCAAACGTTATTCGCAAGCTCCCTAAGGCTCTCTGACTGTTCGGTATTCTACTGAAGATAACTGGAGAGCCTGTGCCCACCGTTCATGTTTATAGCTGCTCATAAAAACAAAAAAAAAGATCTGTGATTGTTAATGACCACACGTAGAGAAGCATGCCAATGGTAACTCGAGCCGTCAGGAATTTTTTTTTTTTAATCTTCTCGAATAAATAAGTATGAGTAAACGTAGCCTCGCGACATCCGCGGCAAAACACGTAATTAAGGACGTTTTTATCTTTAGCGAAGGGCATTCGCGTCTCGTTGAGACGGTGCGACTTTCATCACCGCGTGGTATACTTGAAACCGCGAGTATTTAAATGAGATCGCAACAGCACCAGGAATTCAGGAAGACGATCGATGCGAAAGCTGACCTGGGATTGTCTCGCAATGTGATAACAAGGGATTGCGAATGCACCTGGATCGACACTGCAGTGAGGGACACGATATGGTACCGTGGCAATGAATTAGCTCTAGGTCGTGCTTTGCTGTGAAAACGTTGTTGTCACAGTAAGGATCGGGCCAATAATCTGGGTGATACCGAGACCTACCTCGTAGAAACAATGGACTGCTTTGCGCTAGAGATGGGCCCGATATCTATTTTAAATGCAAACCATTTCATTGCGTACTGCAAGCACTTTTAGTACTCAGATTTGGGTGCACGTTAAAGAACCCCAGGTGGTCCAAATTTCCGGAGCCCTCCACTACGGCGTCTCTCATAATCAAATGGTGGTTTTGGGACGTCAAACCCCACAAATCATGCAAGCACTTTTAGATTCCATCTGCGCGTTTATCTGTCTATCCGCCTACGTCTGGGTGCTGTAATGATCACCCTCTTAACTCGGGGTACACCAAAAGTGGGTACGGGCGGGTTTGATGGTTTGACGAATACAACGCGCTGGTCATGACATTAATAAGATCACAATCTCGTCGCGTACTTCGTAGAACATTTTCCAAAAACAAGTGGCGCATACCCGGGGAAGGTATGTGCCACTAGTTTGCGGGTATGTGCCACAGGTCATAGAACTTTTATACGTACCCAGGAAAGGTGGGTATACACAGGAGTAAATTTAAAGCTTGGGCGTTACAAACAAAGTTAACATGGGCAGTGTTCACCGGACAATGCGAAGAATAATATCAGTGTCCCAACGAAAATCGAATTCTAGCATTCTGCGTGGCAATCGCCTATACTACCACAGAGCCACACCAGGTCTCGGAAATACTTAGCAAGTAGATCCCAATGTTTGTGAAACGTGAATTCTGGTTTCGGTACTGGCTGTAGAACTTTATAAACATTACATGCGCACTCTTAGGATACAGCCGTCACGTCGGGTTTAGTGTCAATTGTAGTTAGGCGCCATCCGCTTAGGTTGATTTGTGTAGCAATGTTGATGGCTACCGTCCTCGGTAGCCAAAGTGCCAACACCAGCGCTTCATGTCAGCATACCACTTGTGGTGTTTCTAATATCCATGTCGCTGTTGGCAACGTTACGCAGCTGCAAACAACTGCTAATGTACAAACGTGTGTGGTTCTTTAAAGTATGTGTGTGCGTAGATTTGTACATATATTGAGCGCCACTTCATAACATCTCACTCAATAAACAATTTAGACGCATTTACCTTGCACCGGCACGCTTCGCATAACATCGATCTGCCATTTCTTTTTTTTTTCATCTTGCGATTGTCACTGGCGATGTCATAAAGCCAAAACATACCAAAGACAAGGTTCCAGACAATACCTGAGAGAACACTGGGGGCACTGACTTACTTAAGTTACGACACCACACTGTCGGGAGTGGATAACAGTTGCACAAGTCGGTAGTTGCGGACTCGGGGACACAAGCGGCACGACACGTCATCTTTCGAAGTATGTGCATTCTGTTGCTGAG